TGATTATGTTAGTAATCAGGCAGCTAGTAAGGGCAGTTAGTGTCACGGAGCTAGTTAATGGCAGAGTTAGGACCGGAGGCCCTTTCTTCTGACTCCACATCCCGTGCTTCTCGGGTCCTCTTTGCAAATCTCATGGGCCTACACCTTTAGCTGCTACTTTTTTCCATGTCCCCTCTGATGTTCCTTGTGCGAAGCCAAGCAGGCTTATTACGAATTAAATATCTGGATGCTTGAACTGATGAACAGGAAATGAGGCTGCTAATGCTCAGAGGAATGGAATCGAGATGCATTTTTTTAGCAGAATTTTGGGCCAAGTGGCCTCTTTCTGTCCTTCCTTTCCCTGTGTCCTTCCAGTCTCCATGGAAACCCCAAATCAATGTGGCGTATGTTGATTCATGTTTCTACTGTTACTAGGAAGCTACAAACTGGAAATTGCTTTTAAAAGATTTGTGGAAAAGCTTTAGCATGCTCACCAGAATTCAAATCTAATATCAAAATGACTTTTTTAAAAAGCTTTTAATGTGGTCCTATCCTAGGTGGTATGTTGATTAAATAAGCACACAGGGGGCATTTGGCAATAAACCTCCTCTTCCACTATCGTGGCTTTTAAAAATATTATATTGCGGGCCATAATTCCCTTTATCTTCAATGTAATTACATTTCTGTGGCCTGTGTGACGATGGCAGGTGTCCTTTTGCTCTTGATTAATTCCACTCTGCCCTGACCAGGCTGTTGGGAACAATAGTTTGTAGATGCTGTAGGTACCTGTGCTGCTGCCCCTGGGTGTCATTAGCATTAGACTGACTTCCGTCTTGACCTGGAGACTGCAGAAGTCTGGTGTGTTTCTGCCATAAGGAATCCTTGGTGATTTTCCACATTTTCTCATGCACTCAAAATCAAATACAGCTGACATTTATTAAACACCTGCTCCATACAAGGCAATGAGAATTTATAGCAAGGGGAGTAAGTCAGAGAGTGTGTCTGTGCGGAGCACACAGTCATTTGGGAGCATCTGAAAACATAAATCACAAGGATAAACTACAGGCTGTGATGCAGGCTGTCAGAGAATCACACAGCACAGCGGTGGCGTTGGGATGGGGGGATTCCTCCTGATTGAGGAAGTTCTGGAAAAGCTTTGGAAAGGAGAAATTTTAGCTTGGAGGTATTGGGTTTCGAGAAGGAGCTAGGAGTTAAGAGGCAGACCCAGGGTGGGGACATTCGGGGCAGAGAGACCAGCAGAGGAATCAGGTGTGTGCTTGCGTGCATGCGTATGTCTCTGTGTGTGTGTGTGTGTGTGTGTGTGCACGCACACGTGTGTGTGTACAATGGAATATGAGACTGGATAGGTAAATGGGACCAAATTATTGGACTATCAGGCAGGACAGAGAGCTACAACGGAGCCCATCAAAGACTATTATACTGATGATCTGCTTTATGGTATCTATTCAGTGGGTAACTCTCGTGGAAGTGGAGTGTACCAGGACGTTTGTGGGGAATGGGGGTGATGAAACGGGGGCAGGAAGATCAGTTAGTGAGGAGTGGGTGGAAGGGCATGCATTGTACTGGGTGCTGATAACCTCTGACATGGCAGTGTCAACGGATGGGAGAGGATGAAACTGAGAAATATATCAGAAATACAATGACAAGGTTTAAAAACCAATTCAGGGCTTCCCTGGTGGCGCAGTGGTTGAGAGTCCGCCTGCCGATGCAGGGGACGCGGGTTCGTGCCCCAGTCTGGGAAGATCCCACCTGTCGCGGAGCGGCTGGGCCCGTGAGCCATGGCCGCTGAGCCTGCGCGATCGGAGCCTGTGCTCCGCAGCGGGAGAGGCCACAACAGTGAGAGGCCCGTTGTACCGCAAAAAAAAAAAAAAAATTCAGCAAGGGGAATGGAGGAAAAAATACCCAAAATACCTGCACTTGTTACCCTGAGGGGCTAGAACAGAGTGACGTCATGAACACTTGGAGGGGAAGGTGGTTGTTTTGGGGGCAGTCGAGTCTGTGGGGTCTGAGAGGGGTGGGGCTGTCTAGAAGACCTCTGGAAAAGCAGCGTGCAGCTCAAGAGAGGCAGGACCATAGCACTGATTCTGGAGAGAAGCCGTGGCCGGTGCCTGAGAGGACTGGGTGTCCCAGAGCAAAAGCAGAGGGGGATAAGCAACAAGGTACAGGGCAGCCCGTGTTGCCAGAGCAGGGCTTATCATGACTGTTTTCCTGGGAAAAACCATGTGTCTCGAACAGCAGCAGTGTTCTGTGCCCAGTCTTCAGCCAGCAACTCAGGAGCCGTAACCAGAGAAGGATCCAGAGCTCTGCATCCCTGGACCAGAGTCCAAATAGCGAGTGCCTTTCTCATTAGCCCTCCAACCTGCTTGCCTTTTCCTGTCTCTCTCCTTCAGGAAAGAAGACCATGCCAGGATGCTTACCCCTTTGGTTCAGCTTAATACCACGCCCCTCCCCAACCCCAGGTGTTCTTTATGTACCTGCCTCTATAGGAAGGAAGATTAAGTTAGAGTCCTCCCTTGAGAGGGGCCTGTACTAGGTCTGTGCTGCTCAAACTGGGTGCTGTGTGCTTACACCTTGGTGTTTAGGAGAGTTTGGGTAAAAAAAAAAAAGAGTTTGGAATGCTTTAAATTTTCTTTTTACTCATGCTAGAGGCATGTCCACACACTCTCAACCCTCTGCTCTTTACATTCCTGTTCTTTCTTTCTTTCTTTTTTTTTTGCGGTACGCGGGCCTCTCACTGTTGTGGCCTCTCCCGTTGCGGAGCACAGGCTCCGGACACGCAGGATCAGCGGCCATGGCTCACGGGCCCAGCCGCTCCGCGGCATGCGGGATCTTCCCGGACCGGGGCACGAATCCAGGTCCCCTGCATTGGCAGGCGGACTCTCAACCACTGCGCCACCAGGGAAGCCCTGTTCTTTCTTTTAAAGCTTTATTCATGATGATATCTTTCCTTAAACATTTGGGTTGGCTTATCGACTTCCTGGTTAATATTGAGCAGCTTCCACTTGAGACTTGGGCCCATCTGCAGCCCTGCCCTGTCTCCTTGGTGCCTTTAAAATCCTGGATACAGGACTGGGCAGCTTAAGACTTGCAGGAGTCCCTCATCCTACCGTTTTAGTGCTGGTACAGGTCCCATGATGACGCTGCCTTTGTATTAAGGTGAGAGGCGGAACAGAGGCTGGAGGTATGGAGTTTGGTATCGGACACCAGCTCTGCCACTTATAAACGACTTGTCTCTGTTTTCCCATCTGTAAAGTAGGGATGATAAAGATGCTGGCCTTGTAGGTTTGTTGTGCGAGTAAAATAAGATAATGTAGTGCGATGTTTAGCACAGTGTCTGGCACATACTAAGTGCTCATTAAACATTGGCCCTGGGCAGGGAATCCAGGGGGGACCCACCTTATAATATAAGCTTATCTTGGATTAGCGAAGTGGTTACCAGTGGGCTTTTATTCTCCAGTTTATCTGTGTACCTCTTACTTATGGTGCAGTACACCAGGAAAATGCCCAGAAGTGAAGGATTCTCTTTATGCTTTAATTCTAAACCCCAGCTAACCTCAGCATTCAAGACAGGAATTCTGAGGAATGGAAAACATTTCTTTCGCATCTCCTTTTATAACGCTAAGCTCCTTTTGCATAACAGAGGGGCACTGTGGACATTTTCAGAGAGCGACAATGAGTGACTGTAGAGGCAGCATCAGAATTTTTATTTCATCCTGTCTTCAGGCAATGTGTGGTTGCAGCAGAATCAGTGCACTGTGAGAGTACAGGTTATGCACCAATAGATCTGCCAGGAAAGACTGGGTCCAGGTGTGACATAGTAGAAAAAGCTCTGCTCTAAGAGTCATAAGAAAACAAATTCTGGTCCTTGAGCTGCCTCTGACGTGTTGTGTCACTTTGAAAAAGGCAGGTCACCTTTTCTACCCTCAGTTCTCTGATCTGTGACACAGGGATAATAATACTCTCTCTGACTATGGCATGGGGCTGTCCAGTGACAATACATGACAATGCTTTCTACATTGTAAAAGGTTCAAAAATGGAATCTAGTATCTTTATTAGAAAAGCATCACTTTCCATAGAGATGTCTGCTGCCTCTAGCAAATGCTGCCTTCTGGGTTTCAGAAATGATTTGCCGCAAAGTCTAGGTACATTTGGAGCTAGGTCCTGGGCGGGAGCAAGAGGCTGTGTCTTAGAGACCTACAGCGGAATGGGGAGAAGGTAGGTAAGCTTTATCGCAGGGCAGTGGTTTGTAAACTTTAGCATGCATTGGGATCACCCGGAAGGCTGGACCCATCCCCAGAGTTTCCAATTCTGTAGGTCTGGGGGTGGGGCCTGAGACTTTACATTTCTAACACATTCCCGGGTGATGCTGACGCTGCCGGTCCAGGGACCACACTTGGAGAACCACTGTACTAGGGCAAGCAGGAAGAGAGAGTCCTCCTTCTGGAACTGAACCGGGCAGTGTGAAGATCCATGTGGGTAAGGTGATTTGGAAGAAAAAAATGCAGAAGACAGAAAAATAGAGATAACATGCAGATTGGGCAGAACAAAGGGAAAAGTCTCATTCCGTAACAAATGCAGGTAGGGGGAAGTTGCTAGGTGATGGATGAGGGAGAGAGGTGAATTTCCATTGTAGGGAAACCCAGGTGAGAGGCAGGAGCATCGATGTGGAAATACATGTGTCTGGGGAGGTGGAGATTTCTCATTAAGAAGTGAGGAGTGGTGTGGTGGGTGCTGGGGAGCGGGCCGGGCTGGGAGAGGAGTGCCACTGCAGAGTAAGAGGGACAGCTGAGATGTGGCAGAGCGGGGTAATTTCAGGGCTGTGTGGTCTGGCTGGGTAGCGCAGCACAATAGACATTGGGAGAAAGGGGGTGGAATTTGTATGTGTGACCTGCCCCGTGGCTTTCTTGCTGTCTGCATTTATCACATCACGTCACACCCAACAAGACAGCCCCCTCCTCCTGGTTCATTAGGAGATTTGATTCGGCTTGGCTTCTGCTGTCAGCAGCTGTCTGAGGCAAGATCTTTATCCTCCCTGCTCCCTAAGCAGCAACCAGCCTTCAGCCAGCAGCAGAGCTTATTAGAAGAGGCCCCCTGGACCCTTGATTTTCAGCGCACTGGTGGCGGGAAAGAGTTAATACCTCTGGCTTCTTTGCCCCCTGGGCAGCCTCTGGGTGCAGAGGAGGGCAGATCTGGGCTGTGGGGACTTCCCCCTGAGCTGCTGAGCTACGGCCAGAGGAGCAGGGAAGCACTTAGTGAGGCTGAAGACGAAAGTGCGGGAGGAGTGCCAGGCGAGCTCTGCTCAGGGGCACCTCCTGTATCCTGCCAATGAGGATGGGCGTGCAGACTGTGCCTGGGAGCTGAGCCGCCGCCCGCTGGGTGTAGGCTGCTTCAGTATTTACCGAATGTGACAAGCAGAGAGAAGAGCTTTCGGTGGGGCCGCTTGCTGCCCAGCTCAAGTGGTGGGAGGTGTGTTGTGCATGTATGCAATGTGAATATGTGTGTTTGTGTGCGTGTGTGTGTGCGTGTGCAAATGTGCCTCTGTGTTCATGCACACATGCCCTTCACCCGCCAAGGATTTGATTGCTAAGAGAAAGATCTACTCTTTCCCCAGAGCTCCTTACCCGCAACCTTTCTGACTATCCCATTGGCAAAGACCCGCAGGCCATGAGGACTGGTCAAAGACGGTGAGTATTGCTTTGGCTTCTCTCTTTCCTCTCCGGGTGCCCGTGTGGGCTGATTGCATTATCCATATTTAATTAACCTGTCTCTCCATGCGTATTGATTGCTTTCTTCCCGCTGAGGCTCTTAGTTTCTCTTCCCCTCTTTATAAATCTTTGCTCTTTGCTTTTAACCATTTTTTTCCCTTGAGTATCCTCGCTTTCCAATATGTCCCATCCTGTCTGCCCCAGAGTCACCTGTAACTTGATGCCCACTTATTAGGGCACATGTAGCATGGTGCCAGCATACCCTCTGCCTTCCTGGGCTCTGAGTAACCCCAAACTCTGTCCCCTAGAAGTCGAGGGCCAAATGGGATAAGAGCCCCCAGGTGCTGGGATGAATGAGAAAGGTGGGGTCAGAGTATCCTGCAGATTCTTACTTAATCGACCCTAAGTTAATATAAGGGGTGGTGGAAGGGCTGAGGGGCATTGATGGCCAGTGCTGGGTTTGGAAGAGAGAGAGGCAGACATCTCAGCAGCTCTGGGAAGCCAGCGTGGACTAGCAGTGGGATGGGAAAAGCGACAAGGCAGTGACAGGAGACCAGGTGATAACTGCCCCAGGTGACCTTGCCTGCTGTGAATGTGGGTGGTAGCCCCTGGTTCTGCTGAGCCCCAAGGTAATAGAGGAGGCTTCCCCCTCCTCTGGGGCTATATCCCACAGGTCAGAGAAAACGAGGCTAAGGTACCCGAAACAATGATTTCTAGAGACCCTTACAGCTGTAAAGGGCTTTGATTTCCCGACTTCTGGGCAAGCAGGTGTATGCACGGTTAGGACGAAGATTGAGGAAATGTCCTTGCTGTCAGGTAACACAGCCCCGGCTCGGTCTCCCAGAGATGAGCCTTTACACGAAGTCTAACTCAATTTTTTCCCCAGTTTTAACAAAGCAATCTTTTAATTTGATTGATTATAGTATTATTAGCGGAGGTTTTTTTCAAAAGTATTCGTGAAATGTTCTAGGTAATATCAAAATAATGTCACCTGCATAGATCATGTGGGAACCTTATCTATCTAAATTAAGTTTCTTTTAAAATAGATTCTATGTTTGGTGTCACGGTCCCCAGGGGAACCCTTTATTGATGGGCTGCTCTCCTCATGTGTTTCTTCCTATCAGTTTCTTCTGTGGCAACAAAGGGTTTGATGCTCTGAGAATGGGACCCTCAGGAGAGACAGATTATTAGTCTATCAGGCCTCCACCTCAAGACCCCCTTTCCCTGATGCCCTTCCTGCTTCGGGTCGGGAACAGGCCAGTCTGCAGAATGTGGAAGGTCAGGCAGCCTCCATATGGGCAGGAAAGAGTGACTTGCATATTCATTTCTTCAGCCTGTGCCTGTGATCCCCGCAAAGGAGCAAACCTGAGTGGTGACAGTGCGTGACAAGCCTCCCTTGGAGTTCTTCCAACCTTCCTCCCGCTCACGCCCTCCCCAGGCACCGGCACTCCCACCTCTGGGACACGTTCCCTTGGAGGGAGGTGAGAAGCAGCCAATCAAAGGATTCTGGAGCAAGTGCTGACCACTCCTCCCCCACCCAGGGCTGGCTGGTCACTTGGGTCCCACTCGAGTAAGACACAGAGAACTGTAATTTTTGGCTTGCCACGCCTGTGCTTTCCTCCCCGGGGGCTCGTGTCCCACTTTACGCTGATGGCCAGTGGCTGGGGAAGCAGGACCTCCTGACCAACAGGCAGCAATGTGAAGCCACCCAACAACTGGTCCTCGTTCACCCCCCGGTTGGTCGCCCTTGCTCAGGACCAGCAGACATTCGTGGGGAACGGGGGTGTGTGTGTGTGGGCGGGGGAGGTATTCCGTTGGCAGAAAGTCACCTGCGAGGACTTGTAGTGCAGTCAGATAAGAGAGGGGGCCCGCTCTTACAGCAGATTCTTTGATTTTAGGTGAGAGGACGTGAAAGGGTAAATCCCTGTGTCCCGCAGTCTTATCTCCCGCCCTGACGTCCCTGCACACCAGCCAGAGGGTTAACCGTAAGCGGGTGCCTGTATGGCCGCTTTACTGATGCCACGCAGGTAACTGATGCTAACCTCTCTTCTCGTCTCTGCCACTTTCCTCTTCCTCCGCCTTCCCACCTCCCCTGCTGTCTGAGCCTGCTCCAAGCCTCCTAATGCCGTGGGTGGGCCACTGGCGTCCGTCCCCCAGGCCTCCTGTGTGGACGGCGCTGTCCTTCCCCGGGTGCTCCTTGCAAAGTTGGGGCCTTGCGAGCAGCATCTGCAAGGCCCTCCCGTACTCTGCCGGGACTCACGGGGTGGGACTGTGCATTGAGTGCGCATTGAGCCATTTAGGGGTCTCTGAGTTTCCGGGGTACAGAAGAAAGATGAGGGCAAGTCTAGTCTTTTTCTTAAGTGACCTTAACCTTTGACTCTTGCTTCTGCTCCTATTATTTCAGGCCTATCTAAAAGGTTAAGTCTCAGACAAGATGGAAAATAGAACTATTTTGCCCCAAAGAATATTTTGTGGAAGAATTTTGCAAACTATTTGGGAGACTTACTGCTGTCTTGGTAACAAGTAGCACACTTTACCCTGATCCCTGCTAAACCTTGTTAAATGGCTTGCATGGATGTGCTGTTTTTCGAAATCCTCTTAATTGACCTTTAGGGGCATCGACCTGACTCTTCAATGATTGATGTTTCTGAGGCACCAAGGGATGAACCGACTCATTCTAAGTCGGTTCTGGCCTGTGGTGCCGCCTGGGCAGGACCTGCACTTGAATTCATGGAATGTGATGACTCAAGGGCCCTTAATCGGTTGCTGCAATAGCCTAGTGCTGGGGCCCCCCGTGATTTGTAACAGTGAGTGGACGTGAGATGCTCACTGTCAAGGAAGGGAGAATGGCTGTAGCCAATATTTTGAAATGCCAGGAAGTCGATGGCTTCACAAAGCACCTGGCTGAGATGAGCGGTAGGGACCCAGATTGTGCAGAAGAGGAGATATTTCTGAAAACTTGAATGTTCTGGCCTTAAAAGACTCGATCTCAGAGATGGACTGTGGAGTCCAAGTGTCGTCCATCCCCGCCAAATGTAATACCATCCCCGTAGACATTTGTTGGATAAGATTTCTGTGAACAATTACCAGGGTCAGGGATGAAAACCCATTTGAAGTAAAAGAAAGAGCTTGACTTGGATCTAACATCTCTGCTCAGGTCCAGGGTTTGAGAAAATGAGGAAGGGAAAGCCAGGCTGGAAGAACTTCCTTTCAACAAAGAGAATGACATCTTCTAGGACAATTTCCATGGCAAACTGTTACCAGTGTGCATGTGGCAGTCCCCTGTTATCAGTCACTCTTAAGTCCTGATCATCCCAGACCCCTCCCTCTTAGCTTTACCCTCCATCCGAGGAGTTGCCATGGTTAAAGGCCAGGGGTCAGTAAACTTATTCTGTCAAGAGCCAGGGAGTAAATATTTTTGACTTCATGGGCCGTACAGTGTGTGTTGCAACCACCCAACTCTGCCCTTGTGTTCAAAAACAGCTTTAGACAATATATAAACAAATGGGGTGTTGCATTCCAATAAAACTTTATTTACACAAACATGTATCTTGCAGGGCTGTAGTTTGCCAATCTCGGTGAAAGGTAAAAGTGGCCTAATATTGAGAGTCAGAAAGAGACATTAGCATAATTTCTCATTGGATCTGCCACAACAAATAACTATTAAGTGTCTGGTCCTTAGGAAAATAAAAAATATGAGAAATTTAAGCATGCATGTTACAATTTTAAATATGTTGATTGAGAAAAACCAAAATATAAGTAGGTGTATGAGAGCTTAGTTAAGTGAAAGTGCTGACAAAGGGCACCCTGGTTTTTAATTGCTGATTGTACCCACAGCTTCTCCCCACCTATAGGCATCAGTCCTCACTGGTCTGTAGCCATTCCTGTATATCCTCAGGTTTGTGGGATCGGTGGGAAGGACCTGAGGTAGAACTGACCTGCCCTGAAGCCCCATACTTTGTCTGTGCTCTGAGATTCTATGACATGCATCCCTGTATCATGCAATCATCACTCTGCTCTCCATATGGGTACCACTGGGGCTCTGTAATCAGGATTTACTGCTGCTGCTACTGCTACTTTGCCCTCCTAGTGGGAGAGCAAAATGTGGATTGTTATTATGTCATCACTGTATTTCCTTTCCCCACAGAGAATCCTAATTTAGAAATTCTTCCAAGCTAACGACCTTCATTGACTTACCATCAACTTGCATGTCAGCTTTAAAAAGCATTAAGCCTCCAGGGGTAGGGGACCTATTACTATTCCGGTAGTCAAGATGGGGGAGTGAGTATTGCCCTTGATCCTCTAGGTGTCTCTCCTCTTGTTTATGAGATCTTCAGGGGCCACCTGGGGAAGGAGGGGAGGGGGCGGTGCTGGCTCCCGCCACAGCAACTCCAGGGGCGCTTTATGGGGCTGACAGTTATTATTATAACAGTTCCCCCATCCTTCTGCTCCTGTGCTTGTTGCAGGAACAAAGGGATGAGGACTCGACTGGGATGCCTGTCTCACAAGTCCGACTCGTGTAGTGATTTCACAGCTATTCTTCCCGACAAACCCAACCGTGCTCTAAAGTGAGTAATATGGCCACACAGCATTCCCAGGGTGCCGACCATGGGATGCCCACTGTGGGACTATACAGCCTCGTCTTCTCTGGTAGATGGCTGAACCGATGAGCCGAGTGACAAGAATTTCCTGCCTCTTGGCAGCTCCTTTTGTATCTCTGAACATGAATGAAAAAATGTTATATTCCTTTTCGAAGTGTATGGCTTAACGATCTCAGAATAGGGACCCTCCTTTTTCTCCTAAGAAAACCATACCATGCACCTCCCTTATAAAGATGCAATGTAGGATACTTCTTGGTTCTATTTAGTTGTCAATCTGAGTTTCTCAGCTTGGAAACAAATTACTCAAATCTACTCTAAAATTCTGCTTAGGTTCAGAGAATCTGGATTCAGTGCCTATACTGTGTTAAATGATGTCACAGATGGTACCTCATTTAACCCTCCCGGAGCTCTGTGATGGGTGCCGTTATTCCCATTACAGATGTGAGGAAACTAAGGTGACAGTAAGAGATGGAGTCAGGAGCTCAGCCTAACTTTTTCTAAGTCCAGTTTCTTTCCATTGTTACTGTGACATGTTAATTAATTCATTAATTAACTAGAAGTATAGTTGGTTTACAGTGACATCTTTATTTTTATTTTTTTAGATTTTTTTTTTTTTGGCTTGTGGGATCTTAGATCCCCGACCAGGAATTGAACCTGGGCCCTCAGCAGTGAAAGCGCAGAGTCTCAGCCACCGGACTGCCAGGGAATTCCCCATACAGTGACATCTTTAAATGAGGCACTTTCTTAGTTTTGCTTTTTAGACTGAAAGCCAACATATTAAACTTACAGAATTCCAATCCTGAGATTTTTCCATCAGCTACTTAAGAACATATACATTTACAGCGACAGAATTGTAGGAATCCAGGTATGATCTTCATTTGCCCTCCATTGTTTTGATTTATTCTCCTGAGCAAATCTCAGTGGTGGCTGAAGGAGAGGAGGTCGTTCCAGAAATATTCAAGACAGACGTTTCTTCTTTCCTAGGAGACTGTCCACGGAAGAAGCTACGAGGTGGGCAGATTCCTTTGACGTGCTTCTCTCCCATAAGTGTAAGTAGAATTCAGGTTTCATCATGTCTCGGCAAATCATTCATTTTGTAAAAGATGCACCAAATACCTGCCATGATCCAGGCACTGTGCCTGGTGTCCAAGACAGCTCCAGTCTCTGACCTCACAGAGCCTCCTGGCTAGAGGGCCCATAGACAAGAAAACATAATTTAAATGCAGTGGGAAGAGGGCCCTTATTTTGTTTTCTGAGCTGAAAGGATGGTCCCAAGGAGCCTTTATATTCTCAGCAACTTTAACAAGAAAGAATTTGGCTTAGGGGGTTGCAGTGATGTGCTCAATGGGAATGACAGTCTAGATTCCATCCAAAGCTTGTTTTATAAACTGAGATGACCTCCCCCCAAGTCACTGGAGAGCCTCAGCTTACTCATCAGTCAAATGAATGTTCTGTACATTTTGTTACTGACTTGAGTTGGCAGAGTTTTGAGTTTTCTTGTCCCTCCTTATTTGGGGGGTTTACTACCCCAGCTGTACTATACCCCTCAACTTCCGACCGGGTACGAGTTTTATTGTACACACTTCTGCTATCCCTCCTCTTCCATTTTCCCCTTTCCTCACCGTGTATGCCTTCTGTTTCCCACAAAGGCGAAAAGAGTTGTGCATTTTGCAGCGTGGGAAGGGCATTTTGATGGCGGCCAGACTTTTCAACTCTTGCTTTTTTCTTATCATAAGCAAGTCCGAGTTCATTGGGCTTTACATCCTAGCGGCATGAAACACATGGGAGTGGGAGAATAGGAGTAAGGAAGTGCCTTTTGAAGAGAAAAGAAGGTTTTACACAGACATTCAGTGTTCCCCATAAATTCATCTTGCTAATATTAGAAGTCCTGATTGATCTGGGAGTAGAAGGGCTTCTTTTAGTTTAGAGCATTGTTTCCACGTACTTGGGGGACATCATTTTGATACACCAAAGTGAAGGGCGTTGGCTGGTACTCACGCTTGTGTTCTCGATTTTGACCCAGCTCGGCTGCCAGATAGTTGATGACCTTGATGGAGTCCCTCAGTCTTCAGAAAATGTCTTCAGAAGTGATTTTGCTTTCATCTGGATGAGCAGTTCCCTCTTACTATGCCCCTCATCCTAGTACTAATTAACGAATGCTTTTGACTAGATTTTAAAACGAAATGCAAAATTTAAGAATAAGCACATATTGTAGCAAGTGATTTTGTGAGACAAATAGTCATTTTCGTGTTCTATGGATTACACTTAGGAAAGAAAATAAAGCAGAAGAGATACAGCACATATAACATATGGCTATACCCCCAAATAGCAAACTTCTGTGGTGAATCTGCCGAGGTAATGGGATATGTACGATAGTACTTAGGATTTGATAGTTGTTTTTTATGCGGCGATTCTGACTTATTTTCTGGAATCACATTAGGCTAAATAAGTGTCACTATCAAGTTACACCTTCTTTTCTGGCTGGATTTGATTCAAGGTCATCTTGAGGTTTGATTTCTATTTCAGCCTCATGATCGACTCAGTTTAAGTCACTGAGGCCGTTTCCTCATTCTTAAACGGGGATGGAAATACCTGTGTGCTACCTGTCACCTGGGTGTGAGAATCTTCATGAGAGGACAACTTTAGATGATTTGGGGGTTCTCTATGCAAAGGTGTTTTGTAAGAATATGGTGGAATTTTTCAAAAATGATGCTTGTATTTCTCAAATGAAAAATAACTGTGGCCTGAGAATAGAATTGCAAGTTTCGCTGCGAACGATTAACGTGAAGCCTCTATAGACAGAGTTTATGATGGTAAAATTAGTGGATGGAAGCTTACGGTATGTTTGGATTGCCGCAGTGGCAAGACCCGGTGATTTAGAGGTTTAACTGTATTTGTTTGACTCAATGACTTTTAGAGCTAAAGACACTTGGTTCTGCTTCTATCAGGGGTGCTTTGGGTTTCCAGGAATGCAATCACAATTTTCTGAGCTGGTGATTCCACTAAGGGGTGTTACAAGCCAACACCAGATTGTTTCGCTTCTTTGTAAAAAAAAAAAAAACAAAACAGTACAGAAATAAGCTTTTTGAACTTTGAAGTTCTGTGCTCCTTCTTGGAGTCTGATGCTCGTTTTTATTTCTGTTTAGTACGGAAATAAAAAGCCAACGGAGTGAATGTCTTTGAGAAGCAAGGGGCTTTTATTCAGGGACCTCTGGCAGAATTGCAAGGTTCCCGTGAAGCTGTGGAGGGCCAGAGCCCAGCCTACCTCCAAGAGTGTTGACAACTTTCTGCAAGTCTAATTAATTTGGGTTAGTACTGTCACTCAGTTGGGGCTGATTAAGCTTTTCCAAAGGGATTACATGTGTGCTGGTCTCTTACGAGGGACAGCAGTATCAGAGATGTGCAGGGCTTTCAATGAAAACAACAAAGTGTCCTAAAAGAAAGGAGAATGACCGAACGACTGGGCTATGGAAAAACGTGTTAGTCTAGAGCCCACTCGCTGGTAATTCTCCAGGCAGCTGTCCTCCCTGAGTTTTCTATTTTGGAAAATTCAGATAATTGTTCTTGTTCCCATTCTCAGTTTACAGAGCATCTCTGCCATCCTGCTCTGCTTGGATGTTTAGGGCACTTATTTACTCTAAAAAAGGTGTCCTGAGTCTTCATTACGGACAAAATCTATGCTAAGCCGCTGATGGGAGAGGGGCCCCAAGATGAACCAGACAGTCCTTCCCTGGTGGAGAATGCAGGTTTCTGAGAAAACAGACATAGATACAGATAACACAAGAAATAAGGCCACGTGCTAAGACTAGGGGGCCTCAAGATTTCAAATAGAATCCTGACATTCAGTGTTCTTCTTAAATGCCACCTTGTCGATGTTAGAAGTCCTCACCGATCCTGAGCAGAAGGGCTGCTTTTGGTTTAGAGCATTGTTCCATTTAATCAGGGAGCGTACTTCTGCAGAATTAAGAATGCTGACTGGTAGTCAGACCTCTCGATTTTGACCCAGCTCTGCTGCTAAATAGCTGGGCAGCCCTGATGGAATCCTTCAGTGTCTTGGAAAATCTGTTTCCTCATCTCTACAGTGAAGGAGCTGGATCAAAGGGGGCTGGATTGAGTTCTGCCCTATTGTTCTAGGATGCTATCTGTAGCAACCACCAGGATTGGCAGTCACTAGTCACCTACGGCAGGTGGTTTGAGTCCATGCTGCCTGCAGGGTTATGTAAAACTGCTTGAGAGCTGAGATGGCTTGAGCAACCAGATGAGAGGCGAAGGTACCTGTGTTATGAAGCTTTCTCCTCTCCTTGGCAGGATCCCACTGGTCAGGGATGCACCTCGCGGGTTCAAATCTCAGGAGAAAAAGAAAGCAACTTTTACTATTTTTTAGAATAAAAAAATCTGGAACGTAAATATTTGGGGAGGAATTTTATTTCCAATTACACTTGCTTACAAGTGCAGTGCAGAGCTAAAGACGCACCCGTGGAGGTCTGGGAGATAACCACTTGCTAAGTGCTCTTTTTTTTCCCTTTTTTTTTTAACTAACAAATGAAAAATGAAATTGAAAGTGCTGATGGCTTCATTAGATAGGGAGGGATTTCTAATGTGTGTTAATTTGGCATCTTTCTCCTGTTCATCCAGTGACAGTTATAGACTTGCTGTCTGTGTGTGTGCACCTAGTCTGTCCCCAAGGGCATGTGTGCGTGCGCCCACCTCTGCAGTTCATACTCGGGAGAATGAAGGCTCCCAGCTTGTGGGAAATCTTTTCTGACAGGTTGCTGGAGAGCACAAAATTTTGCGTCTTCTGCTTTTATTCCTCATGAGGTTCAGGCCTATGCTTGTTATTTGTCCAGCTCTTAGTAGGACGTTCAGTCCTTAACTCTGAATCAATTCTCCCTCCTTCCCTCTGCCCCTCCCTCCTTTTTTTTTTTTTTTTTTTTTGACGTAAAAGTTGAAATTCATTCCAGTTTTCAGGTGAAGGTGTAGACAGGGTTTCTTCCCTCTTTCTTTCAGCCTGATCCCCCACTGGGATGACAGAGCACTTCACCCTGGGCCTCCATGTGGTCCTCAGCTTTGTTCCATTGTTTGCAGCTCATGGAGGGTCCAGGCTGACCTGTCCCCGCCAGGCCAAGGGAAGGCTAGGTTCATGGAATCGTGTAATTGAAAGCTGTTTTACATTTGTAGAGTTAGTATTCATCTCTGAGCAAAGGAGAGCAGTAAAGAAGCTTTTAGTTAAAAAAAAATTAGCCCCTTTGGGATAATGATTGAGTTATAGAAAAATAGAATGAAGTGACCTGGTCACATAGCAACCAAGCAGAAAACCCCACACAAGCAAACACTAAAATTATCAGCTCATGAAATTCCTTACTTGTTCATGCAAATGGTCTTTAGCTCTAGAATGTACCATTTAATAAACAGATTTCCACCTGTCACACAGCTCTCCTCACATCCCTCTGCAAGCCGAAAGGTTCTAGAACAGTGTTACTCAAAGTGGGATCCAAGGAAGGCAGCACCAGGAGCTGATGAGCCGATGGGAGCCTGTGAGAAATGGAAATTCTTGGGTACCATCTCGTACCTACTGAATCAGAATCTCTGGGAGTGGGGACCAGCAGTATGTTTTTACTCAAGCCCCCCAGTAATGTTGACATGCACTGAAGCTTGAGAAACACTGCTCTAAAACACAAGTATGGGAAACCATGAACCTGGAGCCTCCTGGCAGGGCAGGTTGTCTGTGCTTTCGAAGAAACACACTCAAGGCTGTACTGCCATTCGCCAAAGCTCTCAGGCAACGCATCCCTTTAACGGGACATCGTCCATATATTGCAGAGTCCACACATGTAGCAGGCGTGGTGGAGAGTGTTCACAGTAATTAAACAAATATGGCAGGTGTGCTTTCTGGATAAAGTGAGGATAAAAGTTAGAAAGAGATACTCAAATTAGAGATGGATAGAAAAGAAACTTCTCCTCCTTGCCACCCTCTCTATATTGCTATAATTTTTATTTGCACCCAGGAACATGGATGCATTTAGCCTTTATAGAAGGAGTGCCAAGAATA